TTGTTTAGTATTTATTATGGGCCAAGTGCTTTGTGGGCATTACTTATAATCCTTTTAAAGAACATTGTAAAGGAGATATATCTTCATCTCTGTCAAAGGTGTAGAAACTGAGATTTGGCTTACCAAGGTCACGCAATTGCTAACCAGGAAAACTCAAACTAAAACACAGGTCTTAACTCCAACACCATGGTTTTTTTTTTTTTACCATAAGTGAGCACTTCTTGGAGGGTAATAGTAATGTTCTAAAATTAGATTGTGGCAATGATTTTCTGGCTCTGTAAACATACTAAAATTTATTGAATTGTATACATTAAGTGAATTTTATGTATATAAATTATATCTCAATAAAGTTATTAAACTTATGGTTTTCTCTTTGTAACTAAGCTTTCTTTTACAAGCTTGTAAAGTTTTACTTAACATCAATTTTTTCTCAATATGCTCCTAGTCAAAATCATATTTTCAAAAATTCTCATATTAAACATATACCAAAGGAAAAATTTCTCCATGTACTTTCCCGTTCCCTCCCATTCTGATCTCAGATCAATCATCCTCTAGGATGTGAAGTAAGACATGAGTGGTTTCTTGTTCAGTCAATTATATACTACCTTTTGATTTCACAGTCCTATTCCTAGGTATTTAACCTTGTTCACACATACACAAAAAAGGGGGGGATATATATGTCAACAAAGAGATGTATACAAAAATGTTTATAGCAGCTCTATCCACAATAGCCAAAAGCTGAAAACACTTCAAATATCTGTTGAATGAATGTACAATTTGTGGTACATTCTACACAATGAAATACTACTCAGCGATAAAAAGGAATAATCTACGAATACCGACAACAGCACGGATATCAAAAACCATTCCACTAAGGGAAAGAAACCAGGTACAAAAGAAAACAAAATGGGGGCACCTGGGTGGCTCAGATGGTTAAGCAACTGCCTTCGGCTCAGGTCATGATCCCAGGGTCCTGGGATCGAGGCCCACATCGGGCTCCTGGCTCAGCAAGGAGCCTGCTTCTCCCTCTCCCTCTGCCTCTCTCCCTGCTCATGCTTTCTCTTCTCTCTCTCTGTATCTCTGTGTCTCAAATGAATAAATAAAATCCTTAAAAAAAAATTTAAAAATAAATGAATCCATGGTGAAAGAAATCAGAGTAGTATTTGCCTGGAGGATCGGAGGGAGTTTAATTGGGAAAGAACACAAGTGAACAGAGGATGATAAACATTTTGTCGTAATGGGGTATGACATTTGGACACTTAACTGTACACCTACATATGGTGAATTTTATATCTCAAATTATAAATTGTATCTCAATAAATGTGATTAATAAACATGCACCCGCACCAACTCATACACAAGAGGAAGAAAACTCTATTGGGCTTAACTTCACTTCCAAAGAAACAAAGTCTTAAAAATCCTGTTTCACCATTCTAACATCTAATAATCCAGTTGTAGACCTCAGTTCTCTCGCTTCTAATTCAGATATCTGAGGATCCACTTGGTAGTTACTTTGTTCTCAGTGGAAAACAGAGCTGATCAGCAAATCTCAGTACAAGAGCCCTTTCTTTACTTAAAGATTCATTTAAATAGCCAGCTAAACTATGATATCCTAGAGAATAAAAACTAGTTCTTATTTACCCATGTTTGCACATGTGCCTGATAAGTGCTAAATACATTATAGATAAACAAATCATTGATTCAACCCAAAAAATGCAGTGCATTTCACTGTAGGTAAGTGGTGTGCTGCAACTAGCTAATACTAGCTTGTAAAAGAGCCATGTCTGCACGTCTTCCCAACTCAATGTTCAATTCCCACTAGCAGCCTGAAATCAGTCGTGACTGAAGTACTCTGTGATATTATAATTTATAAGTAATACATATATTTGGTCTTTGACCCTGTTTGACATGAAGCTCCTAAAACCCTTAGAATTTCCTAAGTGATGAGAGAAGTAAAGGTGTCTTGTTATGTTAATGAGATGACTCTTAAAAAGCTCCTAAGGATGGGGACTGGCTGCCAGTGGAGTCAACTATGGGATTAGAGGGTTGGAATGTTCCACCCCACCCCCCACACCTCCAGGGAGGGGAAAGGTACTGGAAGTTGAATCAATCACCAATGGCCAATAACTTAATCAATCACGCCTGTATAATGAGGCCTCCATTCAAACCCAAAAGCAGAAAGCTTCCGATTGCTGAACACAGTGTAGATGCAGTAAAGAGTGGCATTCAGAGAGAGCCTGGAAGCTCTGAGCCCTCTCCCTAACATTTGGAAAGTTATCTTAACATCAGAAATGCCAAAATATGAGGGGGGAAATGCTTCTGAGAAACAAGTAAATATATCACTTTATTACTAATTATCTACACCTCTCTCTTAGCATTTCATTTTTTTTTAATCATAGGCTAATTTAGCTGGAATGAACCTTAGAAACGGTTTATTCTAACTCTCTCTTTCCAGGAGAGAAAGCAAAGCCCAAGAGGTGATAAGATTCTGAGGTTACAGCTCGAGTATGGGGACTAGAATGGGGACTTCATTCTTGGCCTCCTGATTTCATCCTCATCACCTGCTCACTGCTCAAGCAGACAGGAGTTCCAATCCAGTTGCAGCCCTTACACACTACAACTTGCATAGCCTTTCTGTGAAGCTATGAAAGCTCAGTTTCTCTGTGTATAAAATGGGGTGAGGTAATAATACCTACCCTACAGTTTGTTTTGAAGTAGACAGCATCCACCATGACAGGCACAAGAAATCATGGCTGTTATTATTAAAGATGCATGTCTTCTCTATCCAATTGGATTATGAACTTTTTTTAAGTAGGCTCCTCCCCCAACATGGCACCCAACTGGGGGCCAGAACTCACAATTCTGAGATCAAGACCTGAGCTGAGATCAAAAGTCGGACACTTAACCGACTGAGCCACCCAGGCGCCCCAGATTGGGAACTTTTTTATGTATAAGGATATTTGCAGCATTGTCTATAGAGATCAAAAAACTGGAAGCAAGGTGTTTATTAATAGGGAAAATAGTAAATAAATTATGGTCTATCTGCACTCAGAATACTAGGCAGCCATTAACAAGAATAATTAGAGTACCTTTCCAGACAGTTCTCTCTACCTTTTCACACATTTCCATTCTGTGGCTTTTTTCAGTGCAGAAACCAGGAAGTGTAAGTCTCTCCATCCCTGATGCTCCTCTCCTAAAATTCCTAGGTGCTTTTGTCTACATTCTCCCTTCTTGATTATACACTAAAGCCCAAACTAAATTGAGGCACATTATTAAATGAAAGTCTAGGCATGGAAAAATTTCTGCTACTGGCTTTGTGTGATTCTTGTACTATGTAAACTCTAGGTAACTTGGATTATGAACTTCTTGAGAGTAAAAACCAAGACTGTGCAACAGGGAGTGCCTTTCACTTATAGGAGCTCAAAAGTATTGTTCAAATGGCTAAAGCTGCTCCTAAATCTGAATGCCAGATCCTTTTCATCATTTATTTGATCATTTATTCAGCAAACATTAATTGCAGGCCTACTGTGTGTCGAGCCCTGTGTTCGATGTTAAAAAGCAAAACTGCAGTCACAGAGCTGCTTTTTGCCAGATTCCATATAAAGTGTCATGACACGAACAAAGGGAGAAAACAGTAGCCCCACACTTGTATGGCAGACTCTTGGCATCAAGCCTTAACATTACCCAGAGGAGCTGCCTAGAGCAGAAATGCAGTTCCATGCTAGAGGGACAAAATAGCTACTAGTGAATCACCGTATTATCTTAAAAACACTTTGGGAAGCAGCATTTCCAATTCGGCAACATACAGTTCTTTATTCCACAATGGCATTTAAATTAACTTCCAATCTGCCTCTTTCCTCAACCAGGGCACGTCTGAATATTCATGCCCTACCCAGAAAACAAAATTAATGTTAGGGCCAATTTTTCAATATTTCCCTTTCCTTAATAGTTTCTGAAAATGGCAGGAACTAAGCATCATCTGATGAAATACCAAATGATTTCTCTCATATTTTAAAGCTCCAAGTCCAAACACTAGTTCACTTAATCTCTGTTTACTAATATACATTATGAAGTATTAAAAACAGTTTATTCCATAAAAAAAATACTACCATCTACTCATATCCAAAAACATGTAACTTTTGGGGCACCTGGGTGGCTCAGTCAGTTAAGCAGCTGCCTTCGGCTCAGGTCATGATCCCAGGGTCCTGGGATCGAGCCCCACATCTGGCTCCCTGCTCGGCGGGAAGCCTGCTTCTCCCTCTCCCATGCCCCCTGCTTGTGTTCCCTCTCTAGCTGTGTCTCTCTCTGTCAAATAAATAAATAAAATATTAAAAAAAAAAAACAAAAACATGTAACTTTCATGTGACTGCTTTCTTCCTGCCCAACATAAGATACTTGCTAGTTAATCCATACATGACTTTCTCAAGAGAGGTAATTTAGGAATGATTTTCATAAAACATCAAAGAATTGATTCTATTTTGGTGCCACTGATCTCATCTCAGGAACCTGATTGGTTCCTGGAAAAATCTTTGTCTTTTTGAATATAAATCCATTGGAAGATATAGTTTGCCCATTTTCAAACACTCAGACAAATGTCCAGGAGTATTTCAACCATGACTATAGATTTTGAAGATATTACCATATCCATTTACGGTCCGGTCAGAAAAAAAGATACTCAGAGACTGCACTTACCTTTGACAGAACTTTCAAGCTGTAACAAACCACAGTTGGGCTTCTAGTATTTAAAAAACACATCTAACAGATAAAAATAATAAAAATTTATATTAAAAAATAAAGATCTTTGGTTTCTCCGCAGTTTTCCTTCAGCTTTGGGTGGTGGCCGCTTCTGGGCTCCGGCTTCCCGTCCGCGGAGGGCTAGGCGGCGTGGACAGCGGCCCCGGCACCCCGCGCCCTGCCGTCCGCAGCCGCGCGCCCGCCCGTCCACCGCGCCCCGAGTTCGCCGTTTCTCGCGTCAGCGCCCGGCCGCCGCCGCGGCCCAGATGCAGGCCATCAAGCGTGTGGTGGTGGGAGACGGAGCTGTAGGTAAAACTTGCCTACTGATCAGTTACACAACCAATGCATTTCCTGGAGAGTACATCCCCACTGTCTTTGACAACTACTCTCCCAATGTTATGGTAGATGGAAAACCGGTGAATCTGGGCTTATGGGATACAGCTGGACAAGAAGATTATGACCGATTACGTCCCTTATCCTATCCGCAAACAGATGTATTCTTAATTTGCTTTTCTCTTGTGAGTCCTGCATCATTTGAAAATGTTCGAGCAAAGTGGTACCCCGAAGTGTGACACCACTGTCCCAACACCCCCATCATCTTGGTGGGGACTAAACTTGATCTCAGGGACGACAAAGACACGATCGAGAAGCTGAAGGAAAAGAAGCTGACACCCATCACCTACCCGCAGGGTCTAGCCATGGCTAAGGAGATCGGTGCGGTAAAATACCTGGAGTGCTCGGCACTCACGCAGCGAGGCCTCAAGACAGTGTTTGATGAAGCGATCCGAGCAGTTCTCTGCCCCCCTCCCGTCAAGAAGAGGAAGAGAAAATGCCTGCTGTTGTAAATGTCCGGGCCCGCCCCCGCCCCGTCCCCGCCCCGTCCCCCTCGGAACCTTTGTACGCTTTGCTCAAAAATGGTGGAGCCTTCGCACTCGATGCCAAGTTTTTGTTACAGATTAGTTTTTCCATAAAACCATTCTGAACCAACCAGTAATTTTTAGGTTTCGTTTTAAGTGTAAGATTCCAAGCTTTCACATTATATTAAAATTTAGCCCTAAAATGGCAAGCTTTCTTACAGCCTTATTTTTCAAAAGCCCGTTCTTGCTCAGATTAAGAGTTGCCAAAATACCTTGTGAACTAAGTTGCGTTGTTGTGCTGAGAACACTAAGCACTAAACCGTTCGAGAGCTGTGTCTTTCAGAAGAGCTGGAGGCTCAGGTTTGCCCCGCACACACTCCCACCCTCCTTTCTGGTAGGAAAGCAGCACAGCCTCCTCCCCCACCTGCGCCAGGAGGCCATCTAACCCCACGCCCTCCCCTAACACTGTACTGTACGTCCTCGTGGAATGAGTGTAATGGCTCAACACTTCGAACCAATCTTTTTGATTTTGTAGTGAGTTTTTGAAAAGTTAATGTATTCGCTTTTGCTGAGATTTTGAACAGACCTCTTCCTCCCGTGTCCCTCCGGCGAAGTGTCCGCTCCAGCTGTGGGCGCCCGGGCCAGGGGGGTGTGCAGCACGTGACGCGATCAAAGAATGAAGACGGTATTTTGACAAAATACAGAGGTTAATTTACACTACATTGTACACGTCCTAATTAAACTGAGTAAAAGTGTCACGGGTAAAATATTAAAGGTTAACTTCTGTCCAATGCAGTAAACGATGAAGGTCGGTATTATCACTGTTTAAGCTTTTCCATTTTCTTAGACCTGCCATCCCTCCTGAAATTGGGCATTTAATTCATCTTTGAACTGGTCGTTCCCAAAGTTGCTAACTTAGTGCTTTTCTTATAGAACCCCTTCTTAATGAGCAATATGCCTCCTTGTATTATAAAATCTTTCTGATAATGCATTAGAAATTTTTTTTTTTGTAGATTAGTGAAAGTGCATTTCTGCTTCCTTGTTACTTTATTCAGAGCTAATAAGCGCTTTCCTTAGTTTTCTAGTAACTAGGTGTAAAAATCATGTGTTGCAGCTTTACGGTTTTTGAAATATTTTAGATATTCCTAAACTACGAACTTTCTTAACATCACTGTCTTGCCAGATCACCAATACTGTACCCTGACTAATGCTGGCCCTCCTCTCTGCCTCACCTCCCTGGACACACGCTTCCTCTTGCTCTGCCTGACCATGTTCCCTTGGGTCTGTGAGGTTCTGTAAGCCCGTGCTTGTGCTAACGAAGTTCTGTACAACTTACCCACTGGCAAGAATATAAGGTTGGACCTCTCAACCACTAGAACAACATTTTTTTAAATTGACAGTTGCAGGATCGTGGAGTGTTTTTACATTGATCTTTTGCTAATGCAATTAGCAGTATGTTTTGCATGTACGACTTAATAAATCCTTGAATCATAAAAAAAAAGATTTTTAAATGTCTCATAGAAAGAAGATAATACCAAATTAACCTTAAAAATTGTATCATGGAGGGGCATCTGGGTAGCTCAGTCGGTTAAGCATCTGCCTTCAGTTCAGGTCATGATGTCAGGGTCCTGGGATTGGGCCCCACATCGTGCTCCCTGCTCAGCGGAGAGTCTGCTTCTCCTTTTCCCTCCCCTCTGTTCATTCTCTCTCTCACTCACTGTTTCTCAAATAAATATATAAAATCTTTAAAAAAAAAATTCTATCATGGATAGAAGGTAATTTAAAAATTTAAGCTGTTTTCACAAATTTAAGTTGTTGACATAGATGAAAATGAAAAATCAAAATTAAATGGCCCTATTCCAGGTACTTTTATTGTTCCAGGATTAATCCAACATCTCACTGGCATTCACATTGCAAGATCCCAGAGCAGAGTTAGGTGATCAACAGCCCAGTCAATACATACAGGGAAAAATTACTTCAAATCTGATTAGATCATTAGTAACCTTGATCTTCTCAGAAGGGTAGACTTTATAGTGAGTTAGGAAACATTGCAGCAAGGCTACACATTTCAATTAAAATTTGTTAACTCATAAATGTTCTTGTATAAAAGTGTCAGGTAGTCGATCTCATCAATTTCAAGTATTTAGTTTCTTCAAAAACATAAAAATGCCACTTATATAGGCTAGAATTTCACATGATCTCCAACTGGGATTATGCCGATTTCCTATAATTACAGTAACATATTCTATAAAAATATACATTTTGTGCATAAAAAATGGTAACTTTGAAACAAATAAGTTACTACTTGGAAATCAACCTACGAACAACCACTGAGAGTCCAGAACAATTATATTCTTTTCAATTACCAAAATATTATTCCAGAATTAGGCAGACTCACTTCCTCCATTAACACTGTAAAAGGGAAAAAAACTTTTGAAATACTGAATAAAGGAAAACCACAGTCTTAATGTAACCACCGCCACAAAAATGCAAACAAATTCAAAATCCACAGTGTTTCCTTGGATTCCAAAACAAACCAACTGGTCTTTATATTGTCTGAAGGACATTGAACCACATTCTCTGCTATGGAGCCTAACACGTAGCTGTGCAGGTTACAAAACAGATATTTATTTATGCTTTAACAAAAAGAACACTGAGAACCATCATAAATGGTTCATCATAAATAAACATTTATTTAACCACAGCCCAGGTTCACAACTCACTTATTCATCCTCCACTGATTAGAGAACTAAGAGAAATCAGCCCTGGAGATAGCAGTAGCTGGGTTGAAGATACAGATTGTTTTATTTCAGTTTTTGTTTCAGAGCTGTGATTTTAATTTTACATTCACTTTCAGTATCGAAAATCTGCTTCCTTAAAGATGCACCCAACAGAGCCCAGGTCAGCAGATTATAAGGATGCCAGAACTGCTAAGGCAGCAATCCATGTCCACTATAAGACTGTCTCCTTCCAGTTTTCCTACTACAGCCTACCTGCAGTGGCCTACCCTCCTGGAATAAGCTTGGGTTATAACCCTAGGGTGACTCCCAACCATGCTTTTAATAGAAAGTGGTCTCTTCCAAAATTAGACAAGCCACACTTACTCTCAAACAAGCAAAATTAAAATTCAGAATCAAGGTAGCAATAAAAATCACCAATTAACTTTGCCAAGACTGAAGAGTCTTCTTTTGAAGAGTTCTCCTTGACTCCCTGAGGATTTTGACAACTAAAGACATAAGGGCTAGGAGATTTGTATGTTTCAAGGGCAATTCAATAGCTTTCAAGGCTACTCGAACATACCTGATTTTTTTAAAGGTAGTATTTATTTTTCAAAAATAGATCATGCACTCTCATGCCTTTTAAAAAAGGAGGGGGGGGCACCTGGGTGGCTCAGTCGTTAAGCGTCTGCCTTCAGCTCAGGTCAGGATCCCAGGGTCCTGGGATTGAGTCCCACGTCAGGCTGGTTGCTCCGCGGGAAGCCTGCTTCTCCCTCTCCCTCTCCCACTCCCCCTGCTTGTGTTCCCTCCCTTGCTGGTGTCTCTCTCTGTCAAATAAATAAATAAAATCTTTAAAATAAAAATTTAAAAAGTCCCAAAATGTTCGTGAAAGTACGTCTCCCTTTCACCCGTCCACCCTCCAGGCCCCTCCCCAAGGACAACTACTATTTCTTGAGGCCCCTTCCGTCGACATTCTATGAACGTGCAAACATACGCAAGTATTTTAAACCAATTATCCTCTATTATACATCCAGTGGCAGCTGCAAAATTGCCGCTGAACGCCTCTGGGCGTAAAGGTGGCAATCTGTTCGGCGGTGTGGGGTGGAAGGGAAAGGAGACTTATCTTGAAGCTGTGGTTTTGCACATCACGCACCCGGTTTTTCCTTCGTGTGTGTTTTACTTGAACGCCTATGGCAGGCTCTGGAAGAGGGGAAGAGGTAAAACCACCCAAGCCACCCCCAGGTACTGCCACTATATCCGTACTGGTCTCCCTTTTATCTGTGTCCCAATCTTTACGTACATTTTGTATTCTTACTGGATTAAATGAAATATCTCGACTCACCTTTAAAAAAAAAAAAAATCCTAATTCTGAAGGTAACTTTCAGCACCAGGTGATTTCCTCCGCGCCAAACCTACAGCCTACTTCGATCGTGTCCTTAGGAAGGGTTCAGCCTGGCACGGAGTTGCAGGCATGAGCCAAGAACACAGAAGCCCAAAGATGGGAAGTCCGAAGAGGTGAGGGCGTCCCGAGCCCTGGGCCGCACTTTTCTTGGAGACAAATGTTTCGAAGCAGAAGCCCCAAATCCTTGGGCCCTCCTCCCTCCTTCCTCGGGATGCTGGAGCGCTGGGACAAATTACCAGCTCACGCCTCTGCCCCGGACCGCAACTCCAGTCCCGCGCAGCCGGACCCCGTGACCCGCAGAGATCGGGTCCCCCACCGCTCGCCTTCCCGGTCCCGCCCGGCACCCCCTGGAAGGCAGGCGTCCAGGCAGCCCCCTGCGCCACACGGCTCCCAGGACCCCCAGCCCTGGGCTGCCTGCCCGCCCCCGCCGCGAGGGAAGCCACAGGTAGGGGGGCGGGGCGGCGCTCACCTGCGCAGAAGGGGTGCTCTCGGCGCCGGCGGGAGAGGAGGAGGTGGAGGAGGCCATGTTGTTGAGCTACTGTCGCTGCTCCTTCCAGGAACTCCGCTCTCCCCTCCCCGCCCCGCTCCTCCTGCCCCCAAATGTGGGACTTCTGGGGAAAAAGTTCGGCGGCGGCTCAGCGACGCCAAGCGCGGTCCCGCGGCGCCCGACCCGCCGCTGTCTCCTCCCCCTGCCGTGGCCGCAGCGCCCGCCAGGTGCCCGCCGGGGCCAATGCGCGGGGGGCGGGCCTCGGCCCAGGTGGAGGCGCGGCGGAGGGCCGACCCGCTCCCCGCTGGCCGCCCGGCCCCGCGAGCATGCCCAGTCGGCTGGCGCTCGGGGCGGTCTGCGCGGCCGCGGGCGGGGGAGCAAGGGCAGGGGGCTCGCGGCGGGGGTGCTTACCTGGGGAGGAGGGAAGCTGAGGTAGCTCTAGGAAGGGAGGGAGGGCAAGTCCTGGCTCCCGCGGGCTGCTGAATAGAGTTCCCTTAGCCACCTCCATTATGAGAACAAAATAAG